AACGGTTTTTAGAGAATAGAATAGCCAAAAAATAATTGAGCAATAAAATTTAACAGGATTAACTTTAAGAAAAAGACTTAGAACAGCCAGAGTGGAAGTCGGTGGTCGCATTGAAAAAATTAATGATACTGTAAACCATCGATTTTTTTCATGCTCAACAATACTATCTTTTGTACTCAAGCTTTTTATTGTGTTGTACTAAAGCCCAGAAATTTCAGGCCATGTAAAATCATATGCTTAAGTCTAAGCGCTTACGACAAATTGCAACTTATTAACGCAGCACCGCAGGTTTATTCTGTATTGGTATCTTGTGCTGGAGATTTAATACAGAAGCAAAGTGCCAATGAAAATTTTTTTGAGATTCAATTGGCAGGTAAATTTTTTTTTACATATCTTTTTTACATATCTGATTAGACCAAATCAATGTTCGACATATGTCACATTACCAATAGGCAACAGTGGAAGTTGTTGGAATAACAATGTTTTTGTCAAATAAAACCTTTAAAATTATTTTTCAATATCGTTTCAGGTAATTTTTGGGCCAGCGTTACATCGTTGAATGACTTTTTAGCTCGTAGTCTTTTACTTAAATGTTTTATTGAATTTCAAAAAGTAAATTATCGCTATTACGGAACTGCAAATATAAAAGGCACGGCAGATTGCATTTTTTTCATATCTGTAAGTTATTAGTTTCAGTTATAGTAGCTAAATTATTATGTTAATCGGGCTGTAAATTGTTGCGTAGTGGAAAGTGCTTATGCTTATTTAGGATGGCCAAATTTTAAGTGAATTTGACCATTGCATGTTGTCTCTAAATCGAAACGATCGAATTCGTTTAATTGGTGCTCCTTCAGAAGCTATACAAGTAACACTTTACGTCAGATAATAGTACTTTGGTATAAGTAAGAAAAAGTTTTTCAAACTAGTAATGTCTTGCGCTCTGGTCTTCAATTTTGTAATTACAGGCCGTTAGCAAATGCATTGGAACGTACTGGACAAAAGGGCTGCAGAAAGCTGGGCCAAAAGAGAATGGACTTTATTACGAATACAAATTGGCTGGTAATCCGTGGTGGAGTTATGGGCTAGAGGCTGTTGGTAAATTTTTCTGTATTATCAGTTTATAAATTTTAATAAAGTTTGAGTAAAAATAGTTGTTCTGAAACTCAACATTTTTTCTTTTACGTAGACTCAATAATAGTGGTTCCATCCCAAAACAACCACTACCACTGAGTAGTGTTATGAGTTGTTGATAAGCCAAACACTTCTAGAGACTCGACTTTTGATCTCGTTGATAATGCAATACATGTCTGGTATTGGCTGGGAGATTGTTACTGCTCTTGATATTTCACGACTTCCAAATGATAAGGTACCTTTATTTAAATACAATTATTAGATCTTTTTAAGTTTTAATTATGGATATTGTAATAACTAGTCATTTTGCTTTTTATTGATTTCATGTACTATTCGTATCAAAGAATGCTTAAAAGATAATAGGAGATACTGGTGATAACTGGTTTTATAAAACTTTCCACAGAAACTCAGCACTTTGCAATGTTACAGTAGCTTTTACAAAATTTTTTGGAAATTTTTTGAGATTAATTATTTTTCTATCAGCTGTTTTTTCATTATATGTTTAATGAAGATTTAAGTGGCTTCCAGCTTACTGTTATTACATTATAAAGGAACATAAAAGTATTGTTTTTATGCACACTGCACAACCTTTTATCGTTACTTTACACCAGTTTTACTTTGACAATAATTTCACAATTATTAGTTCAAATTTTGTACAGTAAGTAGTAAATGACTGTTTGCTAAAATTTAGGGTCAGAACCTCAGCTGCAGGTGTTATTTGAAGATATTCTGTGTTGATATACAAATACCCAAACAAATTACACTAGAAGTTAAAATACTGCATTTGTGTTCAAACACTTTATACCCAAATAAAAACCCTCTATTGCCTCTCATTTCAGCTTGATACATTCAACCTTGATTGCCTCTGTCTTTATTTCCAATTTTTTCGCTCTTCTTTTTTTTCTTTTCTCCTTGACAGCATCTCTTTTTGATTGACAGGCTAGTTCATTTTTTTAAATGGGAAGCTTTATTGTGTATTCTTCTCTAAAAGTAAATAATAATAACATCTAATATGACTACAGTTTTTTTGGTAATTTTTGCTCAAATTCTCAGAGCAACGCTCTAATTATTTTATCTGGCTTTTTTCACTGCTCAGTACAGCTACTGTTAATTTGAAACTACTCCCTGCAATGTGGTCATGAACAAAATGTGCACTAGAAGTGCTTCAAACCACAAAATTTACTGCTTTCAATTTTGTTAGTCATTACGGAAAACTGCCTTTTCAGACCTCTTTTTTAGAGTTTTTGGAATTTTTCCTGATATTAATTTACTCTTTTTTGTTGTAAAAAAAATACCGCCGTAGGAAGCTGACTGAATTGTCTTTTACATAAAGGTATTTTTTGACCGGTGAAATTTTTCGCAGTTACTTGAAATTGTTTTCAAAAGTTTCACTGTTTTGTTGGGTAGTTTTGAATTGAAACTAATTGATCAGGGTTAGCAACCTGCGGAGAGGTGCGATAAAATTTGACCTTCTTTAAAACTCTTTTCGGTTTTTACACGGGCTTCCTAAGCAGACCTACTCAGTTGGTGCTGTAGTTTAGAAAGTTTTTATATAGCGCTACTTAAAGTTTTCACATATTCATTATTTTGCTCATTTTTTTTCAGGTCGAAAAAGCGAAACTTTACCTTATCTTGATTTCTGTTCCCAACCTTGATACGTGCTAAACAGTTATATTTTTTTAGAGAAACCCGAAGGTGTTAAAGAAAAAGTACTTTAGTTTAATTCTTGAAAAGCGGTAAAGAATATTTATCCTAGGCTGTATTTATATTTCGACGATGCGCAGCTGCAAATGTACCGCATTTTGCGATCTCTCCTGCTGGATATGATAGAATTAGGATAATTAATGCTGATAAAGAAATGGTAGAATTTGTTGATAACATTATAAGGGCCAGTTGGACTGCTGGAATTCAAAAAACCGGTAACTTTTTTTATTTTTAGCACAAAATAGGTTTTTTAATTTGTTACGCATAATAATAAAAATTTTCTTGAACTGTCTGTAAAATAACACTTTCTGTTAGAAATGACCTGCTTATCCATTTGTACCATTTAGGGCTGTATGGAAACAGTTTTGAAATAAAGCTTGGTGGATTTCCATGGGCAACTTCAGGACATGGTGGTACAACTTTTGAGCTATGTCGAATGCTGATGACCAGATTGCTTCTTGGATTAGAGACACGCGGATGGAAAGTTGCTTGTTCCGCAGATGTCAGCTCTAAACATGACAATAACGGGTACAATAGTAAACGAGCTCTAGACGTCAACACCTGGTTTGTTGCCTACAGAGGCCAAACTCAAGTCCCGAGTGTTGCAGCTGCTCAAAGCTACCCGGTGCCATCGGCTCCAACTTTACCATCTTCACACTTCGTTTGTCCTCATGACGCTCCTCCGTCGTATGAAGAGGCAGTTAGAACTTCGTCAACTAGCCCACTATGTTATGGTGCAACAAATCGAGGTTTTTGAAATTTTCTGGCAAAAAAATTTTATTTATGCACTGAAACTAGGAAATATTTGTCGCAGTTTGAATCTGATATCTGTGAAAAATCAGTGATTGGAACTTGTTTATTTGTAAAAGTAACGTAATTGTCAAGATGGTGGAGGATGTTTTTGCTGCAACTTTGTTTTGTTGTTTTTTGCTCTTTTAAAAGAAATTAATTTTGCTATTAACTTTTTGATCCTGAGCGCTATTTTCTCACAAAATCTTACTGTCTTTATTTTTTTATACAGGGAAAAGAAAGCAAAGTGAGAAGCGATGGATGAAATTTTAGTTTCTTAATCTGATGTATAGACGCACAGACGAGTTGTATTTTGTCTACAATGATCTCTGATTCTAATTTCAA